AACCCAAAAGGACTGTGCTGCTATCAATTCAAGTACATACCAATTATAGTTATGGGCTTAGACACCTAAGATATGCTAGATATGTGTTCTTGTATTGAGTATCCTACTATGCTGTAGTGATCTGCTAGACTTGTGTTCTGGTATTGAGTATGTTGTTATGTTGTAGTGATTTGTTAGATATGTGTTCTGGCATTGAGTATGCTGCTATGTTGTAGTGATCTGTTAGATCTGTCTCCTGGTATTGAGTATATTGCTTTGTGGTAACAACCTGTAGAACTGTATGTTACATGTGCTTGCTGGTTATCATCTATGAAGTGACCTTAGGGACTGTATGTGGCCATGTAGGATAGCCTGAGAACTCTTGGTCTAGGCTCTCTTGCTTGCTCCTTGTTTGGTTGTGGCTTTAGAGTAGGATCATCTATTCGGGTGGCTATCTCACCTCTGGTTACTTATGGTTACACATTCTATGGAGGTTGGCTGGTAGTAGGACTGTATGTTGCAAGAAGACTAGTAGGCAGTCGTGAGCTGTATGATTGATGTTTGCTTGTATTATGTTCCTACTTGATCATGATTGTTTATATTTCGACATATTGTGTTTGGTTGGGTTGAGGCGGTCCTGCTTTGTGCGGTAGGCCAAGATACCCGGTGTGGGTCGGCTATAAGTCGTAAGCACGGAGGCTCGGGAGGAGCGGTAGGCCAACAAACCGCGGGTATTCCAACCCGATGGTTGATTGGACCCGACAAGTTGGTATTCTAGCCCGAGGCTGATTAGGCCAATATGCTTATGATACGAGGGTATTCCATCCCGAGGATGACTGGACCCATCGTGGACATGCCTGGTATTCCAGCCCGAGGCTGATTGGGCCAAACATGAGTGTTTGTGTTTGTGCTTTGTTTAGTGTGGTGGCATTTTGGGGGGAAACTCACTAAGCTTTGAGCTTACAGTTTTGAGTTATGCTTCAGGTACCTCAGATGATCGCGGGAAGGCGAAGGCTTGATCGTGCACCTCCTCGTGTTTTGTGTTATGATTTCGGGAAAACTCTGATATTAAACATATTTTGAAAAATATGTTGTAAATAAATATGGCTTCTGGTTGGTTTAAAAAGTTTAAATTTTTCATGAATTTCATGGGTGTTACACAAAATTGTAACATATTGATTTCCAGGTATTCCATTTTGATCCTTGGTTTGAGTATTGTTTGTAAAATTAGTCTTGAGTGGCATTTTTGTAATTTTGAGCCATGTACGTGTACGTTGGGCGTACGTGGCCATGGTGCAAACCCTAAGTTTAGTGTTTGGACCCTATTTAAGCATCATTATTGCCAAATACACTTTCTTAAATCCATCCTCCGTCCCTCTTAGTCCCCATTTCGAAACCCTAAAGTGTGTGAGTGTGTTTTGAAGTTTTGGAGTGTCATTTTGGAGATTTTGGCAGTGAAGGAAGACTCTCGGTGTGGTAGTGTTTCACCCAAGCCTTTGGATCCAACAACTACTATCTCATGTGCATCTTCTGGAGGTATAAACTCCAACCTTGATGAGTATTCCTTTAGATCTTGTTCTAGCTTATAAGTTGCACCTTTTTGTCCCAAATCTTGATCCTTGTGAATATGGAATACTTCAGGACCTTTGAGTTGTCCTTTAAGATGTTTTAGGGTGTGATAAGTCATAACAATGTGATCTTGGGCATTAGTTTCCTTCCATGCAAGATCTAGGTTGTCTTAATGAGTCAAGAAGCTAGGGTTTTTGATGTTGAGGTCTTAATAGTCATGCAAGCCCATAAAGTTGGAAACTTTATGGTTAAGAACAACATTCGAGGACCGTTTTAACCAAACCCACCTATACAATTGATAACATTATCATCAACATCTTCGTTATTATAAATCATATACCATAAGTACATGAAAATTTATTTTTTAGACAAATAATAGTAAATGTCATATAAACTATCTCAGTGTTTATGTAAATAATAAATTATAATATCTTCAAAATAAACAAGATGATACTCTAGTTTAAACCCAAATATTTTTATAGATTTGAAATCCTTACATATAAAATTCTTCCGGTACAATATTTATTATGAGAGCTGATTCGTACACAATAAATTTTTTTATACACAACAATTTGTGTATTAAATTATTGTAATATATAACTTTATAAAACATATATTATTGTGTACGCAGAAAAAATATTGTGTACGAATCACTTCCTATTAATTATATTATTTCTAATTTTCTAAAATAGATAAATTTTAATTTTTTAAATGAATATGATTAATTAAGGCATAGAAGGCGAGGTGGACTGGTGGAGGCAGTTCCTTCGGATACGTTACCCATCAATCGTTAGCCACAAGACTCCCAACTTCGGCACACCAACGTCGATCGCCGTCTTCCGTCAAACTCTCAATCCTCTGCTAAAACCCTTTGGGCATGACGACAAGCCTCCCATGGCACCCTCTACTCTCCTCGAAAACCCAACGCTTTCATCCTTCCACCAACAAATTGTTTCCCAATTCGCCGAGACCTAATTCAATCAGAGTACAAGCTTTTAGGCGTAGCGATTTTGATGGCTTTGCAAAGCGAATGGCCTCAGGCGAAGCCTGGAGAGATGCCTGGCGTAGCGCTAATAACGGTTTTGAGCAGATCCTTTACGAGACGAAGAAAACCGCCGAGCGCATCGACCGCCAGTATTCTGTTGGTCGCCGACTCTCCTCCGTCGCACAATCAGCTTCTGACCGTGCCAGGGAGCTGGACCGTGATTATTTGATAACACAGCGGTGGCGCACATTTACTCTCGATTTCAGTCAAAATTGGCCCAGGGTTTGTGCTCTATTCCTCTATCTGTTCCTTATAAATTCATCATTTATAGTCATGTCACTCGCCTTCTTATGCTATATTTCATCCAGTCTACTGATAACATGCAATTCCCCCCTCGCAGTACAGGAAGCAGTTTAGCGATTTCCTTGATACTCCATTAGGAAGAAGTTTTGGGGTAAGTGTTGCTTTACTTTGTGAATTGTGCTTTGTTTTGCATAATCGTCCTTGTATTACACCTGCAGCTTATCGAATCAGAAATCTTATTGCTAAAACAGATGGGAAAAAGTATATAACATTTCCCTGTTGTTAATGGAACTTTTGAAATTAGAACCTATGAAGATGTTTAGATTACTCAGACTAATAGTTTGGTTGTTTCTGTAGACTATCTTCTTCCTATGGTTTGCTCTTTCTGGATGGCTGTTCAGGATTCTGATATTTGCAATATGGGTACTACCATTTGCAGGCCCTCTACTTATTGGTGCTGTTGCCAATAATCTGGTGATTAAGGTAACTGGTTTTACTGCTTGTTAGTGGCAAAGATGCAATGAGAATATGAGATTCATCTTTTACATTTATTACAGGGTTCATGTCCTGCTTGTAAGAGGCAGTTTATGGGATACAAAAACCAGATGGTGAGATGTGGTGGGTGTGGGAACATTGTATGGCAACCAAAAGGAGATTTTTTTACAAAACGTGGGAATTCTGCTTCTTCTTCTTCATCTTCAAAGTCTGGACCAGAGATAATAGATGTTGAGTTTGAGGAGAAATGAAGAATGTTTACTGGTTGTTGTGTTGTGTGTATACAAGGTGGAGTGTTTGGCTTATAAGCTATTAGCCAATAGAGAGAGAGAGAGAGAGTTTTTGTTTAGACTCTGCTTACAAGTATCATAATCTGCTGTATTCTTTTAGTGTTAGATTTGGTTAAAACTCATAATGCAAACTATAATTGTATCTTAATTGAATCTAAAAGTTTTTTCATGTTCACAAAAGCATATATAACAAAGTATATAGGTTTTAATCAGATTTCAGTTATCTATTTGTTGTGTGATTAAACTTAAACAAATGAACACAAACGAGCCTTATTTTATGTTTGTTTAGTATGTTTACAACCTAGGTAATTATCAAAATTTCAATATTCATGATATTATTTCAGTAATTATTTCAACATTAATCAGTTACCAAAAAAAAGTTATAACAATTCAGTATTTTCATTTTTCGTCAAACTCGTCACTACTTTGAGTTTCAAGTGATTTACACTTGCATTTCAACCGTGTAAAAATAAGAAAATAGATGGAGATTACGAGATTTGATAAACAGAACACAATGAAATGATGAATCAACATATATTTATGGTTTCTTGGCCGTTTATACGAAAACTTTGGGCCGATGAGCCCAATTAACTTATGGGCCCAACTCTTTGTTACATATCCCAAACCCTCACCACCACCAGGGTAGATCGCCAAACCCTAATTCTTCCCAACAAAATTACTCTCCGTCTTCTTCGATTTTCTTCGCTTCTTGGCAACAATGGTATCGGGGAAGAAGACGGTAAGATATGAACGGATCTGTTCTTGTTATTTCGTGTCTCTGTCTCGTTGATAATAACCTGTATTTATTTTCACCATTTTTTTTTGGTTTTCATACTACAGAAGAAGACTCATGAGAGCATCAACAACAGGTTGGCTCTCGTGATGAAGAGTGGAAAATACACTCTTGGTTACAAGACTGTCCTAGAGTCTCTCAGAAGCTCCAAAGGTAATAAAACACCAAATTTATGCATATAAGTTTTCATCATAGCATTACATCGTCGATCTAAACATACACCAGCGTCTGAATTAGGGTTTTATTCTGTTTCTTTGAATTAGAATATGATATTTCGCTCATTATGATTCCATTCCAAGTGTAGGTAAGTTGATTATCATTTCCAACAACTGTCCGCCCTTGAGGAAATCCGAGATCGAGTATTATGCCATGCTCGCCAAGGTTGGGGTTCATCATTACAATGGAAGTAAGTACATCAAATCCTCCCTCGTTTTTTTCCCCTTGTCTTAGTATTCTTAGCCATCGTGTTAAAACTTTGGTCAATAACAATCTGAATTGTTTTATGACACTTTCTTGAATCTGGTGACTGGTCATAACAATTTCTAGATGACGAGAATAAACTTATGCAAAAATTGGATTAGATATAAAAGATCATACATTGAAAAACAATATCATTACTTTAATTAATTTGTTTTATGGATGGGCAGACAATGTTGACCTAGGGACAGCATGTGGAAAGTATTTCAGAGTGTCATGCCTTAGTATTGTTGATCCAGGTAACAATGAATTAACATTTATTCTCTATAATCTGTAATAATTTTATGTTTGGCCAATTACATATAACTAATGATTTATTGATATTGTTATTATATTGTTGTAGGTGACTCTGATATCATCAAATCTCTCCCAGGAGACAACTGAAAAGACCCAATGAAGCATTATTTTTCTCACTTCTGATATGTTGAATCTGTTCCTGTTATGGCATTATTGTCTCAAATTTAATTCTCTTTCTGTTATTATGAATTCTATGAATCTGTTGAGACGTGCATGTATTAACACTTAGATCCTAAAGAGGTAAAATTTTGTTGATTTGGGGATTTTTTGGCATATTCGATTTCTAAAATTTTGTTATTATATGCTTCTCATAATGCTTTATGTAGTCAGTCTTATGTGTTTGAGCATATCATAATTTTCTGAAGAACAAAAATAACGCAACAAAATTTGATCACATAACATGATGTCCTAAGCCATATTAACTGGGAACACGGTAACAAGCCCATAGTCCAGTAAGAACTTTTACTACAATTATAGAAATAAATATATAAAACGAAGTTATGAAATTGAAATACTAAAATTTAACGAATCATCTCAAATACATTCATTTTCAAGCCAATCATGAATAAAACTAAGCAACCACTGTCGGCAATTGACAATTTTTGAGAGAATTTTTCTTACAACAATAAAGTGTTGGTGAATCGTACACATTAATTGTTAGGGGTGAGCAATCTGCGGTTCAGAACGGTTTTTGGACCAAACCGAACCGCAAACCGCAAGTTGCGGTTTTCTATAGGGAAAAACCGATTGGTGTGGTTTTGATTCGGTGCGGTTTACGGTTTTTCATGCTGTTTTTGCAGTTATGTCGGTGCGGTTTTGGTTATTAACCGAAAAATGAGTTTGTGCAATTTTCATGTCCAAACCGGTGGATCCAGACTAAACAAATACTCACCATAATGATTTTCAATTTCCTTCCACGATCTAATGACACTTTGCAATCCAACGTCTAATTTCTAACCTGTTTTCATAATTTTCGTTTTTCTTCAGTTGGTTGCTTCAGTTTTCCAAAGTTTTCTAAAAACTATGAAAATTTTCATTTTTCCAAATTGTATGTAAATTAGAAAAATGATTTTTACAGTTTTCCAATGGTTTTTAAATTTTTAAGATGGAAAATAAAAACTTCACGATCTAACCAAATGCGTTTTCTTAAATTTTCATTGAAAATCGAAAATGAAAATTTCTTGAAAAATAAAAACAGTTTTCCACAATCAAACGCACCATAAAGTTCTCCCAGGAAATGGTTTTGTTTTCCCATCATCTCTAATTATAAGATTACCGGAGTTTGATAACCGGAGAACAGGACTGAAACTACTTGCGATGGGTAAGTTATTGGTTGACCAAACAGTAGCCGATGAGTGATTATAAAAGATTAAAACTCCATTTTCGAGTAAAACAACCTTTCCGGGTAAATCGCGAACAAGGTGATTTCTATTAGCTACCCAAAGCGAATGTGAATTCAAGTTGTTGATAATTTGGGAGAGGGTCATCAATAATGCAACTAACTTAATCTTGACAATGAAGCGTTCGAAAATCTTTATCAGCTGCACCAAATCAAATAATTAATACATTTGGTAAAAGACTTTATTAATGAATCTTAGTAATATAAGGTATTATTTTGAATTTTTAAGTTACATATCAGTTATTTTGGTGCGGTTATATGGTATAAAACCGCAACACACCGGAATTTGTGGTTTTTTCAAAATTTAAAACCGCAACATCGGTTTTTTTTTTCGGTTTTGTTTTTCAGTTTTTTTTTTTGCGTTTATTCGCTTTTCGGTTCAGTTTTTCGCTCCTGTTAGTTGTTGACCATCTTTAAAATATATTATTGACAATTATATATATATATATATATATATATATATATATAT